GGGGGGGGGGGGGCAATGCCAGCATTGCAAGTTTATTTATTGTTGGACATATTTTTGCGGAGGGGGGGACACTTGGCTTTCCCCGGAGTGGCAGTACCCCCCCTACCCCGGAGCTACAGCTGAAAGAAACCCTGGTTACAACTCTGACTAAACGATCTAGTAGCGCAAGTTTCTTCACTTTTTCTGGGACATGGTTTACCAACAGAGATCTGCACGCTGTGCCAACCCATAAAGTCTCAAACATACGTGCTCGCCGACAGTTCGTTATCTCAAAAACAAAGTTTATACAAATTTGATGCAGTGGTTTCCAAACTTTAAGCTACCACGACCTCCAATGAATAGATTTTTTTTTTCTCATCGACCTCTAAATTCCATAAAATTATAAATCAAGTAAAAAATGTTAAACTTTTCGTGGCCCATTAGAAGTTGATTGCGATCTCTTGGGTATAATTTCCTCTTTCCACCCTCGTCCCCCCCTCCGCCCCCCCACCCCACCCCCCCCCCCCACCCCCCCCGCCCCCCCCCCCCCCCCCCCCCCCCACCCCCCCCCCCCCCACGTCTTTCCTAACCCGCTACATAAAGTTTATAATGGAAGAAATTTTGTTTTAATTAAATTATTTATTTGCTTTTAATGTATTAGTCATCATAGACACCAGTACCCCCCTCCCCCAACCCGTTTGATCGTACAGTTCCTTTAAGTCTACCTCGTATTTTATGGTTAGTAGGGGAAAACGGAAAAACTTTACCCCATAAAGTTATCGGTCACTTATCGGAACGCTGTGGTATCTGGTCATAGTGTACAACCGGCTCATCAAATATGACAGTCCTATCTGTCCTGCCAAACCTGCACACACTAATCTGCTATCAAGGACGTCTTTCAATACAAACATTTTGAGGGGAAAGTTCCACCAGCCAACGTTAACACTTTAAGGAATGTTTTGTGAGGATGTTCATAAATGCAAGGCATTTAATTTACAAAACTTCGATTCGTATTTATTTATTTTTTTTATGTATTTATTTAGTTTTGACTTTTCGAGGCTTCGTCTATCAGCAAAATATTCAAGTCTTTGTAATTTATTTACTATAAAGAAATTAAAGAAGTAAAACGAATAAATTGAAGCTCATTGTTACGCACCGACTTCTATAGTGAGAAGTTAATCTCTTATTTTAATTTTATGGCCCCTTCTAAACAGTGCATAGCAAAGGACGATACTTAGGAGAAATATAATAGCAAAATTACGACAATCAAAACAGTTGCTAATTACAATTAATGCGATTTATTTAAGTATCAATATAATTACAAAATAAAAGAAATATAATTAAAAATCATAAACTTATAATATGAATTATAACATATAAGTAAATACAGAATAACACACGCTTGTCTCATGAAGTCAAAATAGTATCTCGTCTTTTTTTCTCAATAATGTTATCTCTGCTTTTATAGTCGATTCTACCTGAAATTCGAGGCGTATTACGCATAGTACTAGTGCCTCGAACATTCCACCATTTACTATCATCTTCTAAAGCATTGGAGTCAACAAGATCAGGTGATATCTAGGTATGGTATAAACAAGATCAAAGGGAATAAGCCACGCCCAATACGAACGCAGCGTTTCGATTTTTTTCTATGCAACTCTACCTAAAACAGTGTATCTTGATTTAAATATTGCCTATAATGTCAGTATTAAACCTGTAGTAATTTACGCCGCACTGATAATTACATCTCATATTCTGTGGAAAAAAAGAGTTAGATTTAAATAAAAAGATATAATCTATTTCGGTTAAAAGCAGATTCCAATCAAATATTTTTTTAATAAAAAGTGATAAAGAGCATGGTTTAAATTAGACGTCACTACTTTGTAAGTAAAATACGCAACAAAAAATTATTTACATTGATATTTTGTTTCTATTTCAAAATTTGTAAACACACATGAGTGCTGTAAACTAGTATCTTGTTCTTGTGTAGATAAAGGCATTTATGTTTATAATAAATTAAAAACATATATCTATATATATATATATATATATATATATATACAGTGCTTTTTTGTAATAAAAATAGGTGCCGGTACTCAGTGATGGATTGCCTAACTTTTAACTACCAGTTCAAACCTCGATGCAATCTAAATCCCAACTGCAAAGATACTAAATGTCTAAAACAATTTTATTTTATAATTAACCAACTTAAATTGTTTTATTATTACTTATTAGTATACCTTATACATTTGTTATGATTTGTAAAATTTAACTAACACGTTATTCAAGTTATTCTTGATTTACTTTTAAAAAATTGTGTTAAGTTCTCTTGTGTTTTATAGGGAAGAACCCTGTCAAAAATGAAAATGAAATATAAATGTTGAATAAATTATTCATAATAAATTCCAAAGTTTGATCAAATTCTCATCTGACGTATACTCCCGACTGCGTTCTTTGCTGTTGGTATCTGTGACTGAATGTCTGCCTCTAAGCAACTATGAACCAACGTATCTTGTAGGGTCAAAACGTACGAGTGGTGGTCCAACTAATCTGATAAATAACAGTAAAGATACTGTTGTTGTCATCAATGAACTTCTTGTCGGAGTGATGATAAGATTCATTTGCGAAAATCCTCTTTCGGCTTCACTTGAAGAAATTGGGATTGTACTGAGAGCAATTTGCAAATAATTCAATTTTAACAAATTAATAATATAATAAATTAATAATAAACGTTAAAATACAAGAAAAGTAATATTTTTCCCCACATTGAAAAAGGTGCCGGTACGCCGTACCGGTGCGTACCGGCACAAAAAAGCACTGTCTATATATATATATATATGAATATATATATATGTTTATATGTATGCTAGCCAAAATACCCGGCGTTTCCGATTGCATTCAGAGAAAAACTTCTGCAGCATTTAACTAACACACGAAAATTAAGGACCCTGTAAAAACACTTCACTTAAGTCAAAACATTTTTTTTAAAGTTTTCATATAAAAAAACACATATAATAGCTTCTGTAAACATACCTGGTTCCCGATGGGATCCCGTTTCCAGATGGAATTCCGTTCCCTTTTGGATGCCGTGTCCACCTGGTGATCCCGATCATCGTTGGGCTCACATTCCCTTTGGCGTCCCTTTGTGAACCCGTTACCTGTGGGATCACGTTTGACGGTTGGATCCCGTGCCCCGATACGTCGGGGGTATCACGTTCCCGGTGGGATCCTGTTCCCCGGTGGGATTATGACAGGTGTGTTTAACTACGTTGGCCAAGGTATATCAATACACGTAGTAGAATGTACTGTAATTTAAGCTTTTAACTTCATTGATTTGCTAGCTTAGGCCAATCTAGAAGGAAAGTAATTTTTAATTTTCGAAAATCGATTAAAATTATCTTGAATTCTTATTCCACAACATTCGAGAAAACTAACTGAAAGTTGTGGGAATATAAAAAAAACATAATTAAGACATTTATTTCAAATTTTAAAAATTGGTGAAAAATATCAAAGCCTCTAGAATAATCTAGAAACGTCATGAAACTTATAAACATATAGCACAGCGATGCTGAGAAAATGTCCAGGAAAGTATAGAAACCAATAGTCAATAGAATGAATAGATTTCACGTTATATCCCGTGCAAAAAATAGAAATTTCTATAAACCTTCTAGATTTGTAATATCCTCAAGGAAACATGTGAAACGTGACTCTTCTATGCAATCATTTTTCAAGTACGAAAAGAAGTACAGCAAAATGCCATGACTATAACCTAAGATATGGGGCCCTATAAAATATTTCAGGCAAATGGAGTTAAATTTGAAAGCTGGCCCATTAAATTCGGTTAAATAATGCCATAGATCTAGTCTTTTAAACGATCAGACTTTCTAGGAAACTCTTGGCTGCCACTGGATGAATGGGATAGTGTTTCTTTTAAATCCGCCGAAGTTGCAGTGTGGGATACGTGGGATATTACTACTAAACTTGGCCTATACATAGATCAATTCCCGTTTAAGTCTATTTAAATAACTAATCCTAAAACTAATAGATACGTCCACCAAAGCAATGGCTATGTGTCAAATTATATGTATATAGCTCATATAAGGAAAAAAACAAAATTATGGATCCCTGGCCCCATATGGAATATTTTGTTAGGCTCAAAACACCCCAGTGTTTCGTTCTGGATTAATGATGAACATGTGTGCCTCGTTTGGCCATGATCCATCAACCGTTGTAGAAAATTATGTGAAGCAAACAAACAAATTATCACTTACATATGTGTGTGTGTGTGTGTGTGTGTGTGTGTCGTGTGTGCGTGTGTGTCTCGATTATCGTTGACCTCAAAACTGTCTTAAAATAGCCACTGTCGTCCCCGTAACATGCAAGGTCACTGTATTAGGAAATAAATACTGGGAACAATGACGAAGATATGCTTTAAGCTATACCTTATATTATAATACTTTCTTTTATATGTAAACTTATAAATGGCTCACTGTGTGTTTATGGTTTTGTTCGGGGGGGGGGGGGCGAATCCCCGACATTATATTGTGTGGCTTAAATGAATTGTATCAGTTCTTGAAAAGACGAAACAGCCTGCGTCCGTTGTGTGATATTCTCTCAACTCTGTAGAGCAGCCCATTGCATCGTGCACCGGCCTTGACATTTGATCCGGTACAGATTATGCGGCTTGCAGACCCGGGGCGACAAAAAGGCAGGGGTCGAAAGTCTTGACTAAGATAACAAACAGTTGTGTGTTGAGTTGGTCGTTTTTGCAGACTTGTTCATACTCGTACTTTGGGCCGCGCGGACAAGACATTATGTAAAGGTGCATGTGTCCAAAAAAAAATGTTGCGTTACTTCTCATTGGGCTCGATTTCCGTCGACATTTTTTGAATGTGTTGTGAGAGTGCTGAACTGCCAGGAAATAGATTAATCCATACCTCTTAGTGTAAGTAAAATAAAATTATTTTCTAAAGGCTTTATTAAATAGACGAAATACAATCAAAGACGTTTCTACTCAATGTTTTCATTTCATCGCTTTAAAAAAAAGTGAACGCGTTTGAATTAAAGTTCACATGAATTATAGCCTACCTACTGACTAAAAGCAAATGAAATTTTATTAAAAAATAATACATGTTAAACGATATCAACTGTGATGAGATACTATTTATTCCTGTGTCTTTCCCTTCTTCTTTTTTATAGCAGATTACGATGCAGAGGATGAATTTAGGACTATGAAATGTTGCAAGTGTTCCATTCATATTTTTGAATCTGGACTCAGGTACGTTCGCCGAGTGACTGGGGTTTCACCCTTCTTTCAACTGGCAGGCTGAACCAAACCTCATTAAGGTCACGATTGCCCAGTGCGCGGCTCCACAACTGTGTGACTTATCCTACGTATCTGCTAGACGTGAAAATTCCTTCACTTGCGCAGTTTGTCAAACCATTTCAGCTCATATCAAGCATGCTCGCTTTCACGTGCTTAGCTCTCTTCGCCTCGTTGGCCATCTCCGTCACGAGGTCAGACCACCGCCTGCGCTGCCACAAAGGTCAGTACTTGACCAGCACGGCGACATGCCTCCCGTGCCCACGCGGGACCTTCATGCCGTACAAGCTTCACACCTCGAAACAATGCATCTCTTGTTTGGACCCAGAGCTGGACGCTTCAGGATACAAGGAAACGAAATGTGGGTCTTCTAGGAAAAACTTGCACGTTTCCAGGATCAGGCGTTCCGAGATTGCACATGGCGGCGAGGTGGTGTACAGTATCCAAGGTATGTCATAGGCGAAGATGGAATGGCTGAAAACGATAATGGCAAGTTTTAACAATCATGATAGTAATTGTTTTTATCTAGTGACAAACATTAGCAGGTTGTAAGCATGTTAAAACGATTGCGTACAATATTCATTTTTTATACCTTTATTTTACTGCTGTTTGCAGAGGTTAAGATTGCTCCTTGTCAAAATTGTATTGTAGAGTTTCTTGTAAAGTTCGTATCAAAAATTTTTAACATATAATTTGTCAATCCATTGCTTAATGTTCCCCTCTTGTCACTGACTCAAAAAAAAACCCACTGTATTTTAAGCTCCTCTGTAATGACCTTATTGCTTGCACTGGTACAATAACAACTATTTGAAATCATGCCAGGAAGATTTCTGTCGCTACAGATACAAATTTCTATTTCTTTTGTTTAACATCGGGTTAGAAAATGTTTCGCAAAAATTTCACGGTCCTCATGAAAAAATAAGTCTTGCGATCCTGATTATTTTATCTTTTCTATTTTTCTTTCCTTTTTTTTTCTTTTTTTTGTGTGTGGAGGGAGGGGTTGTTTTGGTTTTTTTCTTCTTTAGGAAGGGTGTGTGGCAAAATAGACAATATTTATGAAACTTTTAAATGAATTATGTAATATATTGATTACAATAAATTTAATTGTTTCATGTTTTGTTTTTGTTTTTTTATTATTTATTCTTTTGTCTTTGAAGGTTAGAAAAAGCTTTTTTGTGTGTGTGTGTGTGACTGTTTCCCTTCTTACCTGGATTTTCCAAGCTTTCATAAAGTAGAGGTGTGCACTTCATATATAATTATATGCCTAATATTTACTTCCACCCTAACACTCATTAAATTCTTCAACTAACGTCAAAAAATTTTGTTTTTAGTGAGTGGCACTCAGTGGTAGAAGCAAAATATGGTCTATATATATCCTTCTTTTTGAAATGTGTGATATATAATGGTTTATGATTCAAAGGATGAACCTTTCAGTGATGAGTTCAATAAAACGGACCGAATTCGGGGGGGGGGGGNGGGGGGGGGGGGGGGGGGGAGGGAAGCGAATATCATGAAAATGAATAACTTGCCAATCATACAAATAATAAGGGGTCACACCCCACAGGTTGAGAACCACAGACTTAAGATCATACATTTTCAAAGTTTCAAACGGGATCTTTCCTCTATAAAATGAGAAAGAATCCACGCCGACAGCTGGTGGTGTTCCTTTGAATTAAAATGCCCTGTTTTAGTATGGAGCGAAGTTGTTACAAACGTAGACTCAAACCGTTGGCCTTGGGTTCAGGTTGCGATATTTGGGGATGTGGGAACTAAAACTTTGAAATCAAAGATTCTTTTTTTTTTTTTATTATCTACCGTTGTCTAAATTATCTCGCCTTAAATTGATTCTCCTATTTCCTGTGCATTGATTAGCGACGCCAGAGGTTCTCAACCTTCGTCATGTTGCGACCCTTTAATACAGTTCCTCATGTTGTGGTGACCCCCAAAACATAAAATTATTTTCGTTGCTATTTCATATGTATGTGCTTTCCTATTTGTGCTTGGCGACCCCTGTGTAAGTGTTATTCGACCCTCAAAGGAGTCGCGACCCACAGGATGAGAAACCGTTGTAGCAACTTGTACATTATAAAATAAATACAAACTTTTTGAAATCCTTACTTATGTTAATGTAATAGATTGCATAAACGCTTATGAATTTTATTTTATTATTTTTAAAATGCTTAGAGTATTTACTTGAATATTTAATTAAATCATTGTGGTAAATATTCAATCCTTGGCTACAATATACATTAGTTACTGCTCTAAATAATTGTCTTTTTCAATCTTTATTTTCTTGACGACATACCCCCCCCCCCTTACAGAAGCCTCCAGTACCAACCTGACGTGTCCGAGAAACTACTACCTCGATGTAACTCAACAAAGGTGCTCGCGGTGTCCAGCTTGCAGCTTCCTGGACCAGGAGGCTCACGCGCAGACAAGCTGCGATCACTGCTCGCAGCGACAACCCGACAACCGACTAGTCTACTGCCCGAAACGGTGTGACGACGAGGCCCCCGGGGCCCTGCCGACGTGGGCCAGGTTCATCGTCGGCGCCTTGGTCATGGTGGCCGCGCCGTTCTTGTTCATCATGTCACCGCTGTTGTTGAATAAGTTGTTGAATTCGTGAGTGGCTGGCCCGCAGTGTTCATAAGCGGGTCTTTCAGCTATCGTTGGTACATAACTCAAAAATATATCTATTACTCATTTCACGCCAAAAAATAATCGTCAAATTTGCTTCTAATTATCTTCAAATTTTCTTCAAATGGTTGACAAATTTGCTTGAAAATTTCGTCAAATTCCTTTTGGAACGGACTATTTTGTTTAACTAAATTGTGCGTTCAAAAAAAAAAATGACGCAATTTTGAACGTGTGAACTGAGCATTAGGCTGACCTTGATATTCATCAATGCTTTCATTTTATTCAAATAGTTCTGTAGGGTAACTCTTATTAGTGTAAGCTTTTCTTGTGATTTTTTCTACGTACTAAAACTAAAATAAAAATTGTATCAAATTTCTTAAAGGCTTTTGTTATAATTTTTTTTTTAAATATTATTTTTTGTGTTTTGTGAACGGTGTTTATAATATGTTAGTTAAATGTATTATTCTTGTATTTATTCTATAGTAGATTATAAGACACGTCATTCGGATTAATCTAGCAGAAAGCAGCAGGTCCTTTTAATTAATTTCTTATCAAATAAGAGACTTCTTGAGTCTGTGGCAAAGGTTGTTTTGTTTGTTTTGGTTTTCTTAATGGTATTGTTTTTTTCTACGCATTCCGAGGACACTGAATTATTTGAGACAATTCTTAAAAATCGCTTCTTAAATAGTTATGTAATCATTTCCGTTTTTAACATTTAAAAAAAAAAACACACAAGAATGTGAAGATGTTAGTGACGTTGACGTTATAATATATAATTTTAGATAGAAATTCTAGCCAACAATTCGCCAACAAAGTACAAAAAACATTTTATAAGTCACCAGCTGCATTTATTAATTATCTAAAAGCACTTTTGGAAACTTCCATCGGAATTAAGTTCCGTTTGCGACCCAGGGACGTCATTTTGGGTAAGGTAGGGTGGGGCATTTGGTTCCAACCAATGTTCCCTTTAAGCGGGGCGGCCTCGCGGCTATCTCATACAGTTTTGAGAATCCGCCCTGCAAATTTCCATGTGAGTGTGTGTTTGTGGGCTGTAAAATTTTGCACACAAAAAAAATTGGTGATGTAAAAATTTGCACACAACTGTATGATTTTACACTCGAACCAGCAAACCTTAGAAGGAACATTGGTCCCCCACCCCCTAAATTTGAATTTTTTTTTTTTTTTTTAAATTTCTATTTACTGTGAGTGTGTGTTTGTGGGCTGTAAAATTTTGCACGCAAAAAAAATTGGTGATGTAAAAATTTGCACACAACTGTATGATTTTAAACTCGAACCAGCAAACCTTAGAAGGAACATTGGTCCCCCACCCCCTAAATTTGAATTTTTTTTTTTTTTTTTAAATTTCTATGTACTGTGGCGCCTCCAGTAATAAACAATAACAAACCGACCAAGATTTGGTTTTGCCCCACCCCAGCCACCCCCTCTTTTTAAGAAAAAAACACCGACATTTTGTCAGAGGTTTGATTATGAATCATTTCGAATATATTGATCTATTTACGAGAGTTTAAGTCCATTTTTTTTTTAAATGTCCAATGTTTCTATCACCGCAAGGATCGGCAGGCACTAGCCAAAGTGAACACAATACGTGATTCCTTTGTTAAAATAGATGGCATGATCAGTTCAATTTCGTCAAGCTATTTTTGCCTCAGTCTTTTTTTTTTAAACCATACCATATGAAATAAGACTTTAAAAACAGTTTTATAATATTTCTTTCTTTCTTTATTTATTTTTGTGAAGAAAATTCTTGAAAAAGGGTTTTATTTTTAAAAAATAAATGTATGTTCTAAAAAAGTATAAATACATAAACTAATAATTAAGACACGTCTATAAAAGCAAAAAAAAAAAAGTATAATAAATATCAACAACTGTTCTGTTTTCTGTAATTTTTTCAAATTGCTTAATTAGATATAAAATAATCAGATATAAAATAGACATTCTAAAATCCCTAAATTTCTTTGAAATCGAGTCAATAAAGTACTTACAAATTAAAATGAAACTGATTCCACCCCCACCCCCACCCCCATAAATACTCTGTTAAATTTTGATTTATTATGGCAAACTAAATATATAACATAGAAACTCTATTAAACATTCCATAACAGATCTACTAATATAAGAGAACAAAAAGAGACAGATCAAAGCTTCAGTAAGATTTATAAATCGATCTTTCCTCGTTAAGTTACGTTGGTTTAAATGACAGTCAAGTCTTTAACAAAATAAAATCAAGAATTAGATTTAAAATGTGTTAGATGTATTTAAGTACGCCGTCTCCCAAGGGGGGCTAACCGTACATTCTGACAAAGAGGATAGAAACACTGTTGGATAAGGCACTTGCTATGGAATTTCTACTGTATGACTATGTCTAATATGTCAGTCTAAGCTATCTGTTTGGAACAAACGCATGCGTCACATAATAAGCAAAGGATAGAAGAAAAATAATAATTTAAAATCTTTAAAAATAAAAATCAGAGCAGTGCGTATTTCTCTAATGATGTGGTAACAAACTTAAACGGAGTTGGTAAACAAACTCTATTCGGTTCATGCAGCAACGTTATCCTTTATAAAGTCTTATCTCATTTTAGGTTGCTCTGAACTCGGAGGAGGTTCCCTGTTGGTAAGAACTTTTCAAGGATGATAAATTCATTCAACAATCTTGGCGAGGGGAGTAGATGGAGATGAACCTCCTGGGGATTTAACTACCCCCCCCCAACCCCAATCGGAGTACCCATATTAATATTAACATCATTGGACTTAAACATTGCTGTGGCTCATGTCATCTGGTAAAACTACAGCCTCCACTGTGCAGTATCTGTTCTCTGGGCTTCTCTTAAAGATGTACTTGACCACGTTCACAAAAATTGTTCTCGCCTTTTCAAGAATCTTTTTTCGACCAGCTGAATCCGGTGTCATTTCCAGGAGAACATCTTTCTGGACCTGGACCTGGGCCTGAACGGATAGGGTCTGTTGTTTACATTTGCAGAATCTCATGTGAGCGTGTCTGAAACAACAGAACCAACCTAGACATACGAGCACCGCCAAGGCGACTAGTGAAGCTAAAGGAACAATGAGGGGGTTGATTTCATCCTTCAAGAAGTTCCAGGACTTGTAGGCTGTCGTGTTTTCTACCGAAGCTGTTGTGCTGTTCTCGGCTTGACCCTCGGCCCTTTGGACAGCCATGGCGACTAAAAATAGAACGGTGAATACACGTTTCCTTTCCATTTTGCTTTGAGAATATTTGCCTTTTTTATGTGTGCGTCTGCAGACTCCCTCGGCTTGTCTTTGGTTCGTAGTGTTTCTTAGAATTTTTGATGACAGACTTTTCAAGGAAAAGCCAGTAATCTGTATCAGTAAATTTCTTGAGAATGTTGGATAATATTCTCAGGGCGGCGATGTCAACAGCGCCACACCAACACCGGCAAGGTAGCTCGAGTGCTGAATCTGTTTTATTCACTAGCTGCAACGTAGCCACCGTCAACCAGCTGCTGGCTATTGAGTCTTCAATGGGCTGTGACTGGTACTTCGGTAAATCAGCCTGGGTGCTGGGTGCTGGGTGGGGAGTACCACGCCCTTGAGCACCCTCTCAGGATTAGACCCGGTGACCGATGATAGTAAGGAAACTATCTTTTGATGATAGTAGGTGTACTATCTTTTGATGATAGTAGTTGTACTATCTTTTGATGATTGTAGGTGTACTATCTTTTGATGATAGCAGGTGTACTATCTTTTGATGATAGCAGGTGTACTATCGTTTGATGAGTGTAGATTCACTACTACCTATCACTTTAAAATTGGAATAAATTCTTAACAATGATTTTGCTTAACCTAAGGTATGCATTGTCCAATGACCATGATAAAAGTACATTGCCTCATAACAACACATAGAATGGGAACTAAAATGAGAGTTTTGGTTAACTGAACTACTTTGAAACACTCCTTGATTGTCCACAGTGATCAGATTCCATCCTAAAGGTCTTTTCCCATCATCGCCAGGTATAATGAAAGGCATGATTGTAATCAAGTCCAAAGTTTTAATACTTGGAAAAAAGAAAGTCTATCTTTATAATCCCGAGCAGGTCTCCCAATTTCCTGAAACAGAAAAAAAAGAAGAGATAAGATCGTTTTCTGTGAAATAAAGCGACGGTTTTATTTTAATGTTAAAAAAAGATCGTTAATCCAGTGTAGATGTGCATGTGTTTATTCAGTTCTTCGCTCTCGTGTGTTCATGTGAAACAGAATTTCGTTACGTCTTCACGGTCATGCTATTTAAAAATACTTGATGAACTATAGCAAACGAATAGTATATCAGCAGATGATGGAAGCTGAATGATCTGTCGATGATGGTGGTAGGCCTGCTATCTGTCAAAAAAATGGTATGCAAATTTTCTAATCAATTATGGTGTGCGAAGTATCTGTCGGTGATGGCAGGTGAATTATGTGTCAGTTGTTGAAGGTGAACTATATGTCCATGATGGTAGATGAACTATATGTCCATGATGGTAGATGAACTATATGTCCATGATGGTAGATGAACTATATGTCCATGATGGCAGGTGAACTATATGTCAATGATGGCAGATGGACTACATGTCCATGATGGCAGGTGAACTATATGTCAATGATGTCAGGTGAACTATATGCCCATGATGGCAGATGAACTATATATCCATGATCGCAGGCGAACTATATGTCAAAGATGGCAAGGTGAATATACGTCCATGATCACAGATGAACTATTCGTCAATGATGGCATGTGAACTAATATGTCCATGATGGAAGGTGAAATATTATATCCAAAAAGGTTCAAACAGATTATAACAATTATTACTTTCAACTGTGGCGTGCAGTTGGCAAACGATAAATATATATATATATATATTTTTTTTTTAAATCCTTTTCAAAAAATCATTTTCCTTTCTGTTTACGTTGTGTCTATAAATAACATCAAACGTCATCTACGGGAATGTTCCGACTGCCAGACTGGGTCAGTTCTATAATGACGTACCAGGAGCTAAAGCTTAAAGTGCTCCGAATCTGGAGACCTGGATGACGATACGGTGGTTTTCCCGGTAACAAAAGATGAAACCGTTTTTTCCGGGGAAAAACGTTTTCCATGAAAATTAGGACCTAATGAAAATTCAACATCGAACAGTTGTTAAATGTGCGTTGTTAAGTTTTGAGTAATTGTATTGAAAATTTTTTGTTACTTTCATTTATTTGTTTATTTATATTTTAATTTAAAAAACAAATGAAACAAATTTTATGAGTGGATTCTAAAAAAAAAAATGGAAAGGGGACAGATTTTTCTAGATTTCTTTTACAAATTAAATAACATTAGTAACAAGCATTTTCATGGTCGTTTATGTTACAAATGATAGTTCAAATAACAATTTAGTAAATAAATTAGGCAGGGACTCTCTTTTATCATGGGTTG